TTCTGTTTGAGGGAAAGCGTACTGATATCTGAAACTTACTTTGAGATGCATCAAAAAATAAGGTGGAGTGATGGATGGATGGATGGATGGATGGATGGATGGATGGATGGGTTCACTATAAAAATTTTTTCAGCTTTTTCTGTATGTGTCAAAATTTTCATAATAAAATGCTGGGGAGGGGGAGACTTGTTCCACAATCCAAATATTTAATTCCAAATACGAGGAAGCGCTAAAACCCAAACATGGGGCTGCATGAGATTCACCCGTGGAGTTTTTAAAACATACAGATTCTGTGGAGAAATTGGAACCCTCATCCATTGCCGGTGGGAATGTAAACGATGCAGCCACTGTGGAAAATGGTTTGACAGTTCCTCCAACAGTTGAACATAGAATATCACATGATCCAGGAATACCAATCCTGGCTATATTCCCAAAAGATATGAAAGCAGATACGCAAACAGAAACCTATACATCAATGTTCACTGCAGCACTATTCACAATAGCCAAAAGGTGACAACCACCTACGTGTCCATCAACAGCGGAAGGTGGTACATACGTACAACGGAAGATTACTGAGCCATAAAGAGAAACAAAGTCCTGATACACGCCACAACATGGGTGAACCTTGGAAATATGCTGATTGAAATCAGTCAGCCACAAAAGGGCAAATACTATATAATCTCACTTACATGAAATAGGCAAATAGATAGAAATCAAAGCTTATTAGCTGTTACCAGGAGTGGGGGGCGGGTCGTTATTGCTTAGGGAGCACTGAGTTTATGTTAATGGTAGTAGAGTAAGTCGGAAAGGACGGTGACAATGTTGTACAACATAAAGACCGCAGTCAATGTCACTAAATTATGCATGCAAAATTGTTGAATTGGCAAATGTTATGCATATTTTTACCGAAATTTAAAACAATTTTTTTTATTGATTGCCTGTGTCCACCCTGACTACTTAAATCAGAATCTCTAGGGTGGGACCTGGGAAATCAGTATTTTGATCAAATCCAAAACCAAACCCGTTGCCATAGAGTCTATTCCGACTCATAGTGGCCCTACAGGACAGAGTAGATTGCCCCATAGGGTTTCCAAGGCTGTAATCTTTACGAAAGCAGACTGCCACAGCTTTCTCCCACAGAGCGGCTGGTGGGTTCAGGTTCCAACCGCCGACCATTCGGTTACCAGCTGAGCACTTAACCACTGCACCACCAGGGCTCCTTGTATTTGGATCAGCAATTCTCTAAATCAACATACAGGGAGTCCCCAGCTTATGAACGGTATCAGTTCCTAAGTCCATCTTTAAGTCGAATTTGTAGGTAAGTTAGAACAGGTATATAGGGTTCTTATTTAGCATCAGGAAACCCTGGTGGCGTAGTGGTTAACAGTTCGGCTGCTAACCAAAAGGTCAGCAGTTTGAATCCACCAGGCGCTCCTTGGAGACCCTTTGGGGCAGTTCTACTCTGTCCTACAGGGTCTCGACGACTTGGAACCAACACAATGGGTTTGGTTTTTTTGGGGTTTTAGTTAGCATCAGTTAGTCAAATGTTTGTCTTAGTATATGGTATATAGCTTACCTTTCTATACAAAGAAGGCCTGGTGGTGCAGTGGTTAAGAGCTTGGCTGCTACAAAAGGGCAGCAGTTTGAATCCACCAAGCCGCTCCTTGGAAACCCTATGGGGCCCTTCTACTCTGTCCTATAGGCTCTGAGTCGGAATCATCTCGATGGCAATGGGTTTGGTTTTTTTGGTTTCAGGAGCATGACAAAGTAGTCCGGGCGTTCATTATTATGAACCATTGTATTTAACTAAAAATGCTACTATAATAGGCTTTACAGCAGCCCCCTTTCTTAAGTATGAGACATTAATAACCTGGGGACTGCCTGTACTTAACAGATAAACCAGACCTTCTGAATCTGCCACTCCCCCTGGAAGCTAAACATTCAGTTCCTAGACATACTCAAAAAGCTAAGTTCATTCTGCGCCGAAATCATTTCAATTTGGCCCACCTTGAGGGTAAAACGTACAACCAGTTCAGAAAACTGTTTGGCAGTTTCTACTAAAGTTAATTGGAACATATGTCAAGTCTAGGGCCTAGCAAGTCCACTCCTTTGTATTGAATGTTTAACTGCACCTAGAACCTTCACAGCAGCCTTATTCATAAGAGCCGAAAACTGGAAACAACCCAACGTCTCTCAACAGAAGAAGGGATAATCTGAAGTGTGCTCACTCAATGCAATGCTCTCCATTGGGGTCGGCAAACCATGGCCCGCGGGCCAGATTTGGCCTGCCACCTGTTTTTGCACAGCCTGTGAGCTAAGAGTGATCTTGATGTTTAAATGGCTGAAAACAATAAAAATAAGACTATCTCATGATACATATAAACTATATGAAATTCAAATTTCAGTGTCTATATTAAAAGACCACCGTTAGCTGGTTCTGACTCATGGCGATCCCCTGTGTGCAGCGTAGACCCATACTCCATAGAGTTTGCAAGGCTGTGACCTTTCACAAGCAGACGGACAGGCCTGTCTTCCAAGGCACCTCTGGGTGGGTTCGAACTGCCAAAACCTTTTGGATAGGAGTCGAGCAGTTAACTGCTTGCACTGCCCAAAACCAAAAAGAAACCAAACCTGTTGCCGTTGAGTCAGTTCCGATTCATAGCAACCCCACAGGACAGAGTAGAACTGCCCCATAGCATTTCCAAAGAACAGCTGGTGGATTCGAACTGCCGACCTTCTGGTTAGCAGCCGTAGCTCTTAACCACTGTGCCGCCAGGGCTCCATTTTTTAAAGTAGGAGGAGGAAACATTGGCCCATCTCCAAACGTTCCTAAATAACTTAGACAAAACACCCGGTGTCATAAATACAAGTAACAACAAGTGCCGGCAAAGATGTGAAGACATGGAAACCTTCATCCGCTGCAGGTGAGGATGAAAAATAGCGCAGCTGCTTTGGATAACAGCCTGGCAGTTCCTCAAACAGTTAAACATAGAATTACCCTATGATCCGACAATTCTCCTAGGTCTATACCCGAGAGAAATGAAAACATATGTCCACACAAAAACTTGTCCACACGTTTTCACAGCACAAAAACTTCAACACAAATGGTCATGGCAGCACTATTCATAATGGCCAAAAAATGGAAACAACCCAACTGTCCATCAGCTCATGAACTGGTAAACCAAAATGTGGTATACGCATACAATGGAGTCTTATTCAGCCATCAAGAGAAACAAAGTTTTGATAACACGCTGCAACATAGAGGAACCTTGAAAGCATTACGCTAAAAGAAAGAAGCCAGTCACAAAAGGCTACATATTGTATGATTCTATGTCCGTGAAATGTCCAGAATAGGCAAATCTACAGGGTTGAAAAAAAACGAGTCCTAGCGGTGCAGTGGTTAACCATTCGGCTGCTAACTAAAAGGTTGATGGTTCGAACCCACCAGCCGCTGTCTGGGAGAAAATCGTGGCAGTCTGCTTCTGTAAAGATTATAGCCCTGGAAATCCTATGTGGCAGTTTTGCTCTATCCTATAGGGTCACTATGAGTCAGAATCGACTCAACAGTAATAGAGATAGAAAGTAGATGAGTGGTTGCTTAGGGCTAGAGAGGGTGGAAGCAACTAGGAGGTAAAGGTTAAGGGGTGCAGGGCTTCCTTTTGGGGTAATGAAAATATTCTGAAATTGACTGGTGATGGATGCACAACTCTGTGAATATACCAAGAGCCAATGAATTGTGCACTTTAAGTTGCATTGTGTATGCGAATTATATCTCAATAAAGCTGTTAAAAAATAAAAAAAAAACTGAAGCTAAATCTACCACAGCTAAACCTTCAACATTCATTCAGTAAGAATACCATTCACCGGCTTCTAACCCTAACCTTTCTCAGTCCAAGAAACGCTTGTTTTCCCCTCTCAGTTGTTAGCACTGCGATACCTATTTATTCCTATACGATGTATTCTTTTTCCTCAGAAAAGGGTTTGAAGTAAACAGTGAGTCACTACTATAGCTAACCCCTCTGATCCCACACACAGCCCTCATTTCCACTAATAGCTGACTCAGATACAGTCCTGATTTCCCAAGACCCTCTAGGCTGGAGGGCCAGCCCTCATCCTGTCACCTGACCAGCGGTTCCCCACCTCCATATCTTTAGCAACTTGTATCAGAAAAGGCCTTGCCAGCTACTTCTCCTCCCTCTGAGGGCAACGCCCACTCCACCTAACCTCCCACACCCACCCACATTGTCCTGGGTTGAAATTCTGCCCAGAAACTTGATTACACTGGTAGCGCGGAAGGAGGCAGGGATCTTCGAACTACTCCTGAATGAGGCAACAGCAGGGCTGGGATAAGGGTGAGGCCAACAAGGTGCCCAAGGCCCAAAATTTAGGGAAGCGCTCATTCTCAGGAGCCCACCCACCACTTGCACCACCCTTTTTAAATTTGGGGCCACAGGCGCCTTGCTTACGTCACTCTAATCCTAGCCCAGAAATAGAATGCTCCTTCCTCACGCAGTGGCTCTCCTTCAGCCTTGGCCTCGGAACTGCAGCCTCCAATCAACTTTTATGGAGATGCCAGGTCAAAGCGCACTGCCCCAAAGCCTTAGGACTCCATAAATGCTGTTGACTTCAGGGGCTCTGCCAGAGACACACCTGATCAAGGCCTCTCGCACCAGTGCCCCGCCTGGGTTTACAGTGCCTTCCTCCCAAGGACAGGAACCTCTTAGGGGTCAGGAATCCAGACCCTTGGGTGGCTCAACCAGGACTCAGGAGCCTAGACTCCAGTCCCCTTCTCCCTCAGACTGAGGAGTCCCAGGGCCCAGCCTTCTCTTCCCTCAGACTAGGAGTTTAGGCCCCCAGCCCCCTCCTCCCTCAGACTAGGAGTCTAGGCCCCCAGCCCCCTCCTCCCTCAGACACTGGAGTCCCAATCCCCCAGTCCCCTCCTCCCTTAAGTCCAAGGAGTCCAGGCCACCACCCTCCCAGGGTCCCAGCATCCAACTCACAAAGCTCCCGAATCGGATTAAGTCTCCATCCTCAATGTGCAGATCGGCCTGGGCCCCACTAAGGCGGGAGATGACAGACTGGCAGCCTGGGAGTAGGGACCGGAGCAGCCCTGAGCCAGTAATGTGGTCCGCATGGCAGTGGGTATTCACTGGGAGAGAGAGGCGGGCCAGGTCCAGGAGGGCATAAAGAAGACCCGAGATTCCCAGGCAAACTCCTCCATCAGTCCCAGGAGTCGGGGTGGGGAGGTGGGTCACCTTCTCACTCCACTTACTCTGTGGCCCCGTCCCCCTCAGGCCCAGGATTTTGATCTCCAGACTGACCAGCATAAAGCAGCCGCAGCCCCAGCTCCTTCACCAGCTTCGCATCCCGATCCGCTGTCTCCAGAACCGGGTCGATCAGAATGGCCTCTCGGGACTCCCTGTCACCCAGCAGGTACGTGTAGGTGCAGCTCTTGGGCTCAAACATCTGGGAAGGGGTGGGGGACAGGTAAGAGCACAGAACAAGGCTCCCATCCACTTCAGACCCAGGAGTCCAGGCCTCCATGGAGATCCCAAAGCAGAAACCCCAGCCCCTTATTCCCCCTGGAGTCAGGAGCCGGGCCCCCAGCGCCTTCCTCCCTCAGGACCAACGAGTCTCAACTTTCTAATACCCAGGAATTTGAGTCTTCAGTATCCTCTTCTGTAAAGGACCCAGGAGTCTGGCCTCAAGCTCCCCTCTTAAGCAAAGATCCAGGCATCGGGACCCCGAGATCTCTTCCCTTTAAAGAACCCAGGAGTCCGGCCCCAAGGCTCCCCTTCTGCAAAACTCCAGGCATAGGGACCCCCAGATCTGTCCCGTTAAAGGACCCGGGAGTCCCGGCCCCAAGCCCCCACTTTCACCGCCTCAGGCCCAGTAACCGCACTACCCTGTCCAGCCACCTCGCACCTGCCGCAGGAGGATGGGGGCGCCAGACCTCGCGCTCTGGCTGAGCTGCCGGCCCGCGACCCGGAGAGCCATCCCCGCCATAGCGCCCACTGCCGGGTCCCGACTGAGCAAAGGCGTGTCCCCTCCCGAGCCGGGTGCAACCAGGCTGACCCGGGAGCGGCGGGGAGGGGCGTGGCTCGGCTTAAAGGGGCCGCGGCGAGCGGGGCAGTCATCCAGGGCAGGGGGCGATAGGGAGACGTCAGACAGGAGAAGACAGTGAGTGACAGAGACGCTCTGAGATCCCAGGAAACAGCGGACAGGGAGACCCCCAGGGAGCAGGGAGAGATGCTCAGACACACACACACATCTTCATGGAGAGGGAGACAGGGAAAGAAGTACAAACGCATCAAGAGGCCAAAATACATTTGCAGCCACAGGGCCATTTTATAGGAAAAGCAGGTGGTTGGATAGTCATTGCTACAAAGAAAAAGATGTTTTGGTTCAAGCTAACTAGTGTCTTGAGGGACTGTTGGGTGGGTACCTGATTCCCAGAACAAAACTTGATCTCATTAAAATTCACTAAAAAATTGCTTGAGCATTTTATTGGGAATGTTCATGTCTTCCCAGGAAGAATATATATATACACACACATACAACCAGATAGGTTGACACAGTGGCTGCGACAATGGGCTCAAGCATAACAACAATTTTGAGGATGGTGCCGGACCGGGCAGTGTTTTGTTCTGTTGTACAGAGGGTTACTATAAGTCAGAACCGACTGGACAGCACCTCACAACAACAAAATACATATGATGCAGAGGTTAAGCACTGGGCTGCTAATTGATAGGTTGGCAATTCCAGTTCACCACCTGCCGTGTGGGAGAAAGATGTGGCAATCTGCTTCCATGAAGATTTATAGCCTTGGAAACCCTATGAGGCAGTTTTACTCCGTCCAATAGGGTCCCCATGAGTCAGAATCCACTCAGTGGCAACGGGTACGGCGATATATGTATATATGTCTATATATCTACATACATATGTATATACACATACATATATGTACATACATACGTACGTATATATATATATATATATATATATATATATATATCTTGGAATCAACTGAACAGGAACCAACAACATTATAGCTTGCAAAATCTGGTTTGGGATAATATGTCTTCTGCTGAGGTATGAACCCGTAGAACTTGTTTTTGTCAATTTACACCAAAGACCTAGAGCTGAGAAACTGTTCTCTAGAGTCACAGACTGTCAGAAAGTTGCTCTTTGAAATTCCGTGACTCTTGGCTGGATGATCTTAGTCACTGTCACAAAGAAGCAGCCTTGATTTCCAGCCTAGGTACACAGCTTCAGAGGAGGGGTTTCCAGCAACAACATCCCACATTTTTCTTAGCTCTGTGGTTCCCAAGGTAGCAGAACCTGGGTTCGATTCCCAGACCAACCTGTTGCTGTCGAGTTGATACTGACTCCTAGTGACCCTATAGGACAGAGTAGAACTGCCCCATAGGGTTCCTAAGGCTGTAAATCTTTACAGAAGCAGACTGCCACGTCTTTCTCCCATGAAGCAGCTGGTGGGTTCGAACCCTAGTTGCCGAGCACTTAACTACTGTGCCACCAGGGCTCCTCATTCTCAGACCAAGCTCTAGATTACTCTTTACACAAGGCCTGCTTTGTCTTGAGCCGACCAAACTGCCTCATTTAAATTTTATGTAAACATCTGCCTTTCCTGAAAATCCTAAAAACTGTCTCTCTCCCTGTGTTTGGGAAGATGCCCAGTGCTCCCTCTGTGGTCCTCTCTCCTTAGCTACAGCAAGTCAAAAAACCCAACTTTGTTGAACTCCAAAAAAAAACAAAAACAAACTCATTGCCATCGAGTCAATTCCGACTCATAGCGACCCTATAGGACAGAGTAGAACTGCCCCCGCATAGCGTTTCCAAGGAGCAGCTGGTGGATTCAAACTGCCAACCTTTTTCATTAGCAGCTGTAGCTCTTAACCACTGTGCCACCAGGGCTCCAATTGTTGAACTCCAGGTGTGTTCCTTTATGAAATGTGCTTTATCTGGGGAGAGACTCCAAGAGGCATTCAGAGACAATGGAGCCACTCAGAGACTTGAGGGAGATACTCTTAGATACCAAAGAGAGATACAAGAAGAGACACTCAGATATGAGATTGAAATGGCATGACCTTTAAAGAAATGTGATCACAAAGATACACTTGGATAACAGCAACAACTAAAAAATATATGTGTGGATGTAGGCATATATATGTATAGGTATGTACATGGGATTATATGTGTGTATATATAGGTGTTCCCATATGTATATACATGTATGTGATTGTATGCACATATATTCATATATGTGATAAAGCACTTAGGGAGCACACTTATGGATACTTCTTAGACATAACCAAAACACTTTTCAGGATTGATTTCCTGGGTTTGAAGGATTAGGACCATAGTCTTGTGGGACATGTCAGTCAATTGGCATAATATAGTTCATAAAGTTTATGTTCTACAAGCCTAGTTTGGTGACTAGTGTCTAGGGTTTTAAAAGCTTGTGAGTGGCCATCTAAGATACTATTGGTCTCCACTCATCCGGAGCAAAAGAGAAAGAAGGAAATCAAAGACTCAAAGAAGAAACTAGTCTATAGGACAAATAGTCTACACGAATCATGGCCTCATCTACCCTGAGACCAGAAGAACTAGATGGTGCCCAGCTACCGTTACCGACCTTTCAGATTGGGGCCACAGTAGATGGATACCTGATACAATGGGAGAAAAATGTGGAACAGAACATCAAATCCTTAAATACAAAACAAAACAACAGACTTAATGGACCAGTTGAGACTGGAGGACCCCCAAGACTATTGCCCTGAGATACTCTTTAAACCTTGAAGCGAAACGAGCCCGAGGTCACCTTTTAGCTAAATAGCAGATTGGCTTAGAAAATAAAGAATATCACCTGTGAGTGCTGTCCTCCTTTAAAGACTCATCTATATGAGACCAAATGGTCAACAGTTACTTTAAAATGCAAATGAGAATATAAGGGAGCAGGGAAACTACATTAATGGAAACGGAACAACCAGAATGGAAATAATGAGAATGTTCACACATTGTGAAGAATATAACCAATGTCACTGAACAATCTGTGTAGAAATTGTTGAATGGGAACTTGAACTGCTGTGTAAATCCTTCACTGACAACACAATAAAACATTATTTTTTTAAAAAGATACACTTGGAGATTCCAGAAGATCGTTCGAGATGAGGAAAGCAGGTGGGAGATCAGAGCAGGGAGAGATGTGGAGAGAGGGAGAGAATCTCTCAGACCAAGGAGGCACCCAGACGAAGAGAAACAGGCAGGAAGAAATCCTCAGCGTCAAAGAGAATGTTGCTTATTATTGCTCACATGTGCGGCCTCCTGGATGCCTGGCCCAAGCTGGGTGATGCTGGGGACTCAGAGATGATCCCCATTGTTAAATGAAGTAAAAACTGAGTCACGTGGTTGACAAAATGCCGTCGAGGGAACAATGCGCCTAACACTTGTCTTTACCAAAATTTAAGTCTAGCTTTCTTGTAAATCATGCCACCCGCGTTGACCAATGAGTTTCTGACATCGTTTCAATAGTAAATCGTATAAGCCAATCAGAAGAAAGCTCCTTTTGCTTCCGCGATTTGTAAATACAAACCAATCACTGCTAATACCTGGGGGGAGTACCTTCCCACGTGGTTTGCTGCTATCCCATTGGAGAATCTTATGCCCGGGTAAACTTCATCTAATAATTTTATTATTGCCTCAGCTGATTTTGGCACCAGGCTGGTGAGAGAGAGAGGTGAAGACATTAGGGCTGAGACCTGGGGAGGTGCAGGGCTGCCGAAGCTCAGGCAAACGGCACTTTCCGCTGTGAACGGAAACCAAAACCAGCTGCCGTCCTGTTGATTCCTACTCATGGTGACCCCATGTGTTTTCAGAGTAGAACTGCGCTCCATAGGGTTTTCAATGCTATGACCTTTCAGAAGCAGCTCGCCAGGACTTTCTAACAAGGCATTTCTACATGGGTTCATACCTCCAACCTTTCAGTTAGTAGCTGAGTGTGCTAAGTGTTTGCACCACCAAGGGATTCCTTTCACTGTGAAGCACCCCCCTCCTTCCCCGTAAGACCTCCTAAGCCCAGGGGCCTTTCTTATTGTTTTTTCAGGGTTTCTAGAAGTTTCCCTTCCCCTTGAAGGCACGCCCCCTGGGGTTTTTGAACGGCGCTGTGAGATGTCCTATGAGTTAGAAACCTGGGCTTCACCCTTCCCAGCTTTGTGACCTCGAGCTCAAGACTCATTCTTCGTGGGCTTCAGTTTTTTCTCATCTATAAAATGAGGTTGAAAATAGTTCCTCCCATATTGGCAAGGATCCAATGATTGAAGAGTTTGCGACAGCACCTGGTGTACAATAAGCTCCCCTTGGGAGTTGGCTATCATTTTTGTCATTATTCCGACTCCTTCCTCCCCTTGCCACTTCTACCCAAATCATCACAAAGTTATGTTGATTAACCTCATCTTCAATCCCTCTGCCCTAGTCAAGGAGCAGCAAAACATAAATGCAAAGGCCTAGCGAGGGGGGATTCAACCCAGAAACCAAACCCGTGGCTGTGGAGTTGATTCCAACTCATAGTGACCCTAGAGGAGAGAGTAGAGTAGCACTGCCCCATGGGTTTCGAAGGAGCGGCTGGTGGATTCGAGCTGCCGACCTTTTGGTTAGCAGTCAAGCTCTTAACCACTGTGCCACCAGGGCTCCTAGGGGGGATTAAGGGGGGGCACATGCCCCCAGGCGTAAGTCCAAGGAGGCGCCAGACAAGACCGGCAAATCACCCCCGCCCCTCCCATCCATTAGGCGGGCGGTGGCGGAAGGGGTGGGGGGGGTTGCAAATTTAGAGATTGCAGCTTGGCACTGATTACCTTTTCTACACCTCTGAATTGCATGAACTCTGGAACCAGGCTGCAGGGGTTCAGATCCTGATCCTGGCTACTTCCTGACTGTGTGACCTTGGGCAAGTGAACTTCCCCCTCTGTACCTCATTTTCTTCCTCTGTAAAACAAGGATAATAGTAGCACACCCCCC